TGACCCCCCAGTCCATTTGACCTGTCTGACCAGATATACAATGCAGGTTTAAAGGTAAAGGTGTCCCTTCCTCGAAAGCCAGTCGAGTCCGACTCTAGGGTTGCGGTGCTCATCTCCGTTTCCAAGCCGAAGAGCCAGCGCTGTCCGAAGACGTTCCCGTGGTCATGTGGCCGGCATGACTAAACACCAAGGCGCACGGAACGCTGTCGCCTTCCCACCGAAGCGGTCCCTATTTATCTTATTGCAATGTCTTGCTTTTGAACTGCTAGGTTGGCAGAAGCTGGAACTAGAGACGGGAGCTCAGTCCGTCATGCGGCACACCCGGGTCTCGAACTGCTGAACTACCGACCTTCCACAGCCTGCAGTTTGCGGTTGCAGGTTGTGGCAATACAAAAATGTATTCCTATTATGACGACACCATAGACTGGGTGCAAACGAAGCTTTTCGCCCTTTCCCCAACTTTGCGGTGCCCCCTTTGGCCCCGGTGCGCGAAGCACGGGCTTCGTCTGCTTCATGGTGAATCGTCTGCCCCTGCCCACACGCGATGCCAACAACAGCATCTGCGCGGAGCTGGCTCTGGTGGGGTCGCCGTGCCATCGGCCGCGCCTAGCTCGGGGGCAGGTCTTTGCCCACAAGGGCAGTCCAGCGTTAGATCCACGTTATGCGATCCCCAGCTTTGCGGTGCCCCCTTCGGCCCCGGGGCCCGGAGCGCGGGCTTCGTCTGCTTCGTGGTGGCTCATCTGCCCCTGCCCACACGCGATGCCAACAGCAGCATCTGCGCGGAGTTGGCTCTGGTGGGGTCGCCGTGCCATTGGTCGCGCCTAGCTCGGGGGCAGGCCTTTGCCCACCAGGGCATTCCGGCGGTAGATCCGCCTTACGCGATTTAGCACAACGGAGGAGGAGGGAGGCGTGTTCGTGTGTGCCAATGGGGGTGTGTGTGTGCCAGGGGTGGGGCTGGCAGCGTCTCTCCCGGTATTAAGCCGGGGCGGTGCGATGCCCCGCCCCCCTGCCGCCTCCCTCGCCGAGCCAGCCAGCATGAGCCTCCTCCACTACCACCAGCGCCCGGGGAGCCTGAGGGGCTTCAGCAGCCGCTCCCAGGGCTCTCTCCCCGCCCGAAGCGCTTTGTACCGGGCCAGCCCGGGAGGCTTCCAACCGGGGCCACTCCGGGTCTCCTCCGGGGGGGTCTTCCCCGGCTCCCCGCTTTCCGCGTCGCCCTCTTTCCTTCTCTCCTCGCTGCCCAGCCTAGAGATCGACCCTAAAGTGCACCAGATCCGGACCGAGGAGAAGGAGCAGATCAAAGGGCTCAACAACCAGTTCGCTTCCTTCATCGACAAGGTACCAGTCCCCCGCTGCCCCCCGCACAGAACAAGGCGCACTCGCTTAGGGGTGTAGCTGGCTGTAGAGGCTACTATGAGTAGGGTCGGGCTGTGCAATCGGTGTGTGGTGCTGGCTGGGGGGGGGAGGGATGTGCCCATTTGTGGGGGCAAAGTGATGCAGTCCTGTGCAGTGTATTATTTTCAGGTCTCAAAACTGTGTTAGGTGCAATTTTTTGTCCTGCTTGCCCTATTGGGCAAGGTTTAGTGTTTTTGAGATATTTTTTTAAAAGAGCCATACAGTTTACAATATCTAGCCAGATATCTCATACCAACATCATATTTGCATACATGCACATTTTTCCTTGCCATTTTTCCTTGCCTTAACTTATATTCAAACAACATAAATCAGAAAATCATGAATCTGTTCCCAATAAACAACTAGTTTTTCTAGCAGGGGACTGGTACCTTTTACCTACAATACACTGTTCCTAATCAACTCTATGTTTATAAACCTAAAAAAGAAAAGAAACAGGCATTTCCTAACTATTTGAAAATACTAATTTGGGCACATTATTTTTTATATATGTTAACACTCTATTCTCTTTAAAATGTTCTTTCATGTTATCAATACTGTTAACTTTATAACTCCCATTTACTTACAAACTTTTCAAAGTAAGTTATATATCAATTCTTAAACGCATAAAACAAAAAAAATCCTTCACCCTGCACTGAGTCCTCCTGTCTATTCTCTTATATCATTTAGAGCATTACACATTCTCTGCATAAACTGCCAGTTAGGTGCAATTTTTGATAGGCTAATCCTGATTTAGCAGAGTGCCTGGCAAAGTATAGAACATGGAACTAGCCCCTTTTGCTTCCAGTGCCAAACACGTTTGCAAGTAAATCTGGCTGATTTCAGTGATTCTTTCTTCTTACTTAGTGTACTTAGAAACCCACTAAGGAGCACCATATCTAAGGCGGAGATCAGAGGAAGATGCCTGATACTAAAATAACATGAGAGCTGGGGAATTTTAAACAAAACAGCATCGTGTATTACATGAAGTTGGCCAAGGGGTTTAGCTTACAGGGTCCACACAGAGAAGAAGGGGGGAGGATTATAGAGTCCAGAAGATCCAGTTACCCAAGACAAGGTGTGTTATGTTGCAGAGCACAGGTGAAAATGAGAAGGAAGCCACTCAGAGTGAATGTGGACCCCTGGTGAAATGAGATGAACCTGAGTAATGTGCATCGGGGGGTGGGGCTGGAAGCGTCTCTCCCGTTCTTAAGCTGGGGCGATGCGATGCGCCGCGCACCGGTCGCCTCCCTCGCCGAGCCACCATGAGCATCCATTACCACCGCCCGGGGAGCCTGGTGAGCTTCAGCAGCCGCTCCCAGGGCTCTCTTCCCACCCGAAGCTCTTTGTACCGGGCCAGTCCGGGAGGCTTCCAGCCGGGTCCGCTCCGGGTCTCCTCCGGGGTCTTTCCTGGCTCCCCCCTTTCCGCTTCGCCCTCTTTCCTTCTCTCCTCGCTGCCCAGCCTAGAGATCGACCCTAAAGTGCACCAGATCCGGACCGAGGAGAAGGAACAGATCAAAGGGCTCAACAACCAGTTCGCTTCCTTCATCGACAAGGTACAAGGCCCCTGCCCCTGCCCAGGAAAAAGCGCAGTCGTTTAGGGGTGCAGCTGTAGAGGCTATTATGAGTAGGGCAGGGCTGTGCAATCGCTGTGTTGTGCTGGGGGGTGGGGGTGGGATGTGCCCGCTTGTGTGCAGTTTATTATTTTCAGGTCTCAAAACTGTGTTAGGTGCATTTTTTGTCCTGCTTGCCCTATTGGGCAAGGTTTATTGTTTTTAAGATATTTTTTAAAAGAGCCATACAGTTTAAAATATCTAGCCAGGTATCTCATACCAACATCATATTTGCATGCATGCAAATTTTTCCTTGCCATTTTTCCTTGCCTTAACTTATATTCACAAAACCAAACAAGGACCCAGGGTAAGTAGGAAAACCAACATACAACAAGTACAGTGCACAGTCCTCCCTTTTGAAACTTATTTAACAAAGGAGGACTATTATTAATTATAGGGTTGTACAATAGCTTTTGAGATTCTGGGAGATGATATTTGATATTTTTGATATCTCTTATATTGTGAATTGTGATTAAGATGATTAATTATATATGTAGAAAATATTGTAAAAATATTTTTCAAAAATATATAATTATTTATGATATGTTATAATCATCTGTGCACGGTACTTGTTGTATGTTGGTTAACTTATATTCAAACAACATAAATCAGAAAATCATGAATCTTTTCCCAATACACAACTAATTTTTCTATATTCTATCTGGTATATTTCATTTTACCTACAATACACTGTTCCTAATCAACTCTATGTTTATAAACCTAAAAAAGAAAAGAAACAGGCATTTCCTAACTATTTGAAAATACTAATTTGGGCACATTATTTTTTATATATGTTAACACTCTATTCTCTTTAAAATGTTCTTTCATGTTATCAATAATGTTAACTTTAGAACTCCCATTTACTTACAAACTTTTCAAAGTAAGTTATATATCAATTCTTAAAAGCATAAAACCAAAAATCCTTCACCCTGCACTGAGTCCTCCTGTCTATTCTCTTATATCATTTAGAGCATTACACATTCTCTGCATAAACTGCCAGTTAGGTGCAATTTTTGATAGGCTAATCCTGATTTAGCAGAGTGCCTGGCAAAGTATAGAACATGGAACTAGCCCCTTTTGCTTCCAGTGCCAAACACGTTTGCAAGTAAATCTGGCTGATTTCAGTTATTCTTTCTTCTTACTTAGTGTACTTAGAAACCCACTAAGGAGCACCACATGCAAGGCGGAGATCAGAGGAAGTTGCCTGATACTAAAATGACATGAGAGCTGGGGAACTTTAAACAAAACAGCATCATGTATTACATGAAGTTGGCCAAGGGGTTTAGCTTACAGGGTCCACACAGAGAAGGAGGGGGGGAGGATTATAGAGTCCAGAAGATCCAGTTACCCAGGACAAGGTGTGTTATGTTGCAGAGCACAGGTGAAAATGAGAAGGAAGCCACTCAGAGTGAATGTGGACCCCTGGTGAAATGAGATGAACCTGAGTAATGTGCATAAAGCTGTATAGAGGAACAATTACCTGTGGTGATGTGTTCACCATCCCAAGGCCCTGGTCAGTCAGCATCTGATAGTAAGAAATCTGTGTATGAATTCAAATTCAGCAGTTTCTTGCTGGAGTTTCCCTTTGAAGCTTTTCTGCTGAACTTTTAAGTCTGTTAGGGAGTGCTGTTGTTTTCCATTTATAATGCCTGGTTTTTAATCGCTGTTTTTTAAATGTTTGTATTTTTAATGTATGATTCGTATCTGTGTATTCTCTTGCATACTCTCCACTTTGGCTAATGTAAAAGGCCTATAGCAGGGTGTGTTGAAATCTGAGCTGAATGGATTTTTCAGTGCTATGCTTGGTTAAGGAGGTTAGAGGCCCCCTGCTGGAGAGCAATGTAAAATGCAAAAAAAGCTTTGATTTAATTGAAGGTGAAGATCTCCTTGCCACACTCTCTCCCCAATCAAAACTCTTTGCTCAGTATAAAGGGATGCACAGAGATCTATCCGTATTTTACAGTGTCCTGATCAAAGCCTTCTGTTTCCAAGCAAGATGATTCTGGGAGGTGTGGGAGAGGAGAAACTGCAAAGGGAAACACAGTCTTGTAGTTCTACTTCCAGATTTCACCCAGAGTTAGTTAGGGGGTAAATATCCATTCCCAGGTGTTTTCAAAGCCACAAGTGTATCATAATGGAGACATTCTGGAGATGTAACATGGATGGTTTTATAAATAAAAAGGAATTGATATATGATACCCCAAGACCCCTTGACTTCCTATGAAGCAACATGCAATAATATCTGAAGTATCTGCAGATGGCAGAATCCAAAAGGATTTACTCCCTAACTGCTTTGTCCTTTCCCATCTCTGTTTCTTTGTGTCATTAGCACTAAAGCTCCAGATCAGGGCAGAGCAGTAACCTTGATTTTTTTTGAAGCAACATGCAATAATATCTGAAGTATCTGCAGATGGCAGAATCCAAAAGGATTTACTCCCTAACTGCTTTGTCCTTTCCCATCTCTGTTTCTTTGTGTCATTAGCACTAAAGCTCCAGATCAGGGCAGAGCAGTAACCTTGATTTTTTTTCTTTTTACTTTGATTATGAAAAATCTCTTGAGAGCAGGATTGTAAAGCCAACTGATGCGACAAATCCACTCTTCCTGCTTCAGTTTTTGCTCTATTGCAGTTAAAGGAGTGGAGACAGTGAGGGATTATTTACACACACACACACCCAAGACTGGACAGAGGAAGTAACAACTATAGCCATCCCTGGAAAAAATTATACAGAATATTTATCCATAACATTTTTATTTCACCCTGCCCAAAGAGAACTCACAGCCGCATATGTGGCTTCCTCTTCCTACATTTTAAATCCCTCTATGAACACTGCGTGTGGCCATTCACTTTTCATTAGACTCAGTAGAGCAATGCTCCCTCTAAGCTGTGGAGTCTTGTGAGCAAAAATTCTACTTTGTAAGCTACTGGCATTGAAGTTGTGAGCGAGCGATTTGGCTACTGCATAAATTAGTTTGCTCTGGAGCCATCCTTCCTGAGCGAGGACAAAAATGGGTTTTTTAGCCAAAGGCTAAAGAACTGTGAGCTTGCTCACACTAACTCAGCTTAGAGGGAACACTGGAGGGAACACTTGAAGGGCTTTTCATGTAGAAGATGGAGCAGATCTCTTCTCTCTTGCTCCAGATTGCAAGACTAGATCTAATGGGTAGAAATTACAAGGGCTAAATATCAGGAGAAACTTCCTAACTGTAAGG